CCTAAAGTCATCTTCAGCTCAAACATTCCCGTTGTGTAAGGCTCAACGCGCCAACCGCTGGCTATGTGACCTCGCACAGCTCACTTGACCTCTCTGAGTCTCCATTATTCTCCTCTGTGGAATGGGGAGAAATAATGGCCATCTCATTAAGAAGGTGGTGAAGAAGAAATCACAGAACATCAGTAGTTCCATAGCAGCTTCGTTGGTAACAGCGCCAAACTGCAAACAGCCCAGATGTCCGCCAGTGGGTGAACGATAAGCAAATTGTGGTGCAATGGAATGCCACTCGGCAATAAAAAGGAGCGAGATGTCGATGCCTACAGTAACATGAATAAATCTCAGAATATTCACGAAAGAAGCCAGACCAAAAAAAGAGTACACTCTGTATGATTCCATTTATAGAAAATTCCAGAAAAGTCAAAATGAATCATAGTGACAGAAAGCAAATTAATATTTGCCTGGGGGTTGGGGGAGGGAGGGAGGATGGCGAGGAAGATTAAGAAGAGGGTACAAAGGGTACAAAGAAACTTCTGGAGATGACAGGTATGTTCATTATTTTGATTGTGGCGACGGTTTTAGGCGTAAATACACGTCAAAAATCATCAAATTGCACACTTTGTGTGCATTTTATTGTGGTTCAGCTTAATCTCAGTAAACCTATAAAAAATAATAATGGTAAAGCTCCAGACACCTGTATAATAGTCAGTTTATTAATAGTTGCATCTGGGTGATTCTTTGATTAATTTTCCTCCCCTAGAATCCAGACTCAGGTCTGTTTTGCTAACGGTGTGTCCTCAACACCTGGCACATAGTAGGTGCTCATTAAATAGTGGTGGTTAGAAAACAGAGGCTCTGAACCTGTTACTTTCTCCTGGGCCCCCTCAGAACCCAGAGGGTTAATTCATCCCACCCAGGACCTCTATGAATGAGAACCAGGACAGACCTGACCCACAGACAACACCCCTAGCGGGGAAGTGGGACAGGGCAGAGTGGAAACAAAGAAGTGGGACCCGTGATGAAACGCAGTGGGCGCAAGACACATGTCCCCACCCCGCCCACTGTCAGTAGAGGGGCTTGGCCTTTGTGATACAGATATGTTTTTAAATGAGCCAGGAGATCAGCCCGGAAGAATCCTGTCTGAGGGGCTACGTGGACCTGGGTTCAAATCCCAGCTATGCTGGACTGTGTGACCTCAGGCAGGTCACTGCACCCCTCTGAGCCTCAGTTTCCTCATCTGTAAAATGAGAGTGGTGATATTGCTCATTGTGTGGTCAGGGTTAACTGCGGTCCTGGACAAGCCAGCACATACACCTTCCTTCAGCCTTACATATTGCACGTGCACACACACACGACACCTACTGTATACCAGGCACCATGCCGAGTGCTGGGGGTGGGCAGTGGCCTCAGGCCACTCTTCCTGTGCACTTTGTATGTCTTGGCAGTGGCAGAGACTCTGATGTCCTTGGTCCGGGTGGGACCAGGAACAGTGTTCTGGAAAGTTCTCGGGTAGTCCCGATATGCAGGGTGGAGACTCCCACCTTCCCTCTTCCACACGTGCGAACAGAGGCCAAGAGAGGTGAGGCGACTGCCCAAGGCCACACAGCTAAGAAAGGATGGAGCTGGGGTGGAACCCAGAGAGTCAGACCCCAGGACCCAAACCGCCCCAAACAGCGCGAGAGGGTTGAAGACAATGAGCCCAGCATAGACGAGCTCTCGCCCTGGGCAGGCCCCCAAGCCAGCACACGCGCGGCCCCCTGGGCTGATCAGAGCAGGCCAGGGGACGGGGACGGAGCCCAGCTTCCCTCCAGTGGCTCCTTCGCACCCACCACCCCAACCACAGGTGACCAGAATCCCCCATTTCCACCCTGAGCTGGGGATCCCCTCTCCTCCCCGCTTCACAGCGACAGCAGGCCTGGCCCCGGGACAGACGGCAGGCTGGGGGCAGCTGTGCAGTTTTACAAGCCCTGGGACAGGGGGCGCCTGTTCAGGCCCTGGCACGTTCCTGGGCCCCTGGGAACAGCGGAACCCTCTCCCCCGGCCTCAAACCCAGTTCTCCCCCAGCCTGGCCCACACCCCCCACCCCAGCCCTCGTCCCCCTCTGTGGCTCACTGCTGGTGCCCGGCCAAATGCATGCCCATAAAATGCCCCTTCTGGGTAACCCCATTGCAGATGTGCGAGCAGACCGGAGGGGCTCTAAGCAGGAGTGGAGCCCTGCTGTCGGCTTCCTAAGGGATTCGTTCATTCATTCATTCATTCATTCATTCCCTCTTCAAAGAATCAGTGGAGAACTCAAATGCTGTGTGACTCGAGGCAACTGACTTTACCTCTCTGGGCTTCCGTTTCCTGATCGGTGACATGGGAATAGTAACAGTACCCACCTCGTAGAGGTGTGAGTCTCAGTGAGTTGATGATGTCATCGACTCAGGCCCGGCACGTAACAGGGGCGCGTTAATTGTGACCTGCTGTTAGCACGGAGCCCAGGGCACTGTGGAAGGAGGCTGGGTGGTGGCAGCCGGGGAGGCTCCCAGGAGGAGGGGACATCTAGGCCCAAAGCTAAAGGAGGAGAGGGAGTTAGCAAGGCAGCAGGTAGTGATGGCTTGGGAGGGGTGGAAAGGTGTCGCTGGCAGAGGGAACGGCAGCTGTAAAAGCTCAGAGGTGAGGGAAGGGTTGACTCCTGCACTGGTGCTCAGGCCACCTCCTTAATCCACCCCCACCAGTCTTGGGAGACACAGGCTATGGCTAAAGCCACAAGGCACATCCTCCGGAGGACCGTGTTGAGTATAGTTGGGGGCTGATGCCCAGGAAGCTGCAGATTGGGAAACTCAGCCCTGCCTGCTCCCCCAAGGGTCTCCAACGCCCGCCTCTGTCTTACCGGGTTTTTGTGTGTCACAGGGAAGCGTGATGCACTTCCCAGCCACACGGCAGTCCCTAAGACCCCGCAGGAGCTCAGCAAGAAGACAGCCCAGCCTGGGACACCCAGAAAGGTTGAGCGACGTGGGCAGAGCCACGCAGCACACGGGCCTTCATATTTGACTCTCCCGATGTTCTTGGCAGGCCTTGCGGGGGAAGGGGGGGCCCTTCCCCACTGAGCAAGACAGAGGCCATTGTGTGTCCTGAAACCCAAACCCCGGCCCCCTCCGGATGGGGGTGGGGTCGGCCTCCCTGCCCGCCCACCGGGGATCCCAAACATGCTCCCGGCCCTGGCCACATCTGGATTCCAGCTGGCAGCTCCCGGGCCCAGGGCGAAGGGGGAGAAGTCGCCGCAGGAACTTGCCATCAAAGGCAAGGAGGAGCCTGGCGGGCGAGGACACGAAGGCAGAGGGCTCCAAACCCAGATCCCGGCCCAGGGCGCGGTGAGCGTGGCGCTGACGGCGAGACCCAGGCCACCTTGCAGCGGGTGGGCAGCCAGGAGCCACGCCACCGCCGTGTCTCATCAGGAAGCAGAGCGGGGGGGGACCTCCCCCACGGCCTCCGTCAGTAGCAGAGCCCGGCGTGGCACCTCGGTCTGTGTGGCCTCGAGTCCAGAGCCAGCGCTCGGCCTCTGGGAGCGCCAGCACCCACCCCATTCCGATGGAGCACTGCTCGTCCCTGTCTTCCCTGCACCAGCCTGCCCCTGCAGCCTCCAGGGCCTGGCCCATGGGTGCCCCACAGAGAGTTGTCCCCAACCCCGTGGAACAGCCCTCCAGAAAACCGGTGAGACTCGGGCCAGAATAAAGGTTTATTGTGCCGGCGTGTTATATCTCAGCACCTGGAGAGCTGTGCAGAGCTGGGGGAGCCCCAGGTGGAGAGACAAAGGAGAGAACCCCACCCCCAGGGCCTCCCCAAAGCAGGACGGAGCCCAGGCTCCCTGTCAGAAACTGAGTACCGCGGACACAGGCTGCCAGACGACGTGCGTGGGCGTCAGAAACCCTCCCCTGTCCCCTGGGACTCCCCGGGGCGCGGCAGTCTCCTCAAACAAGCCTCCCAGCTGCTAGGCTGCCTCGGAGTCCTGGCAGCAAGGGTTCGAGCCATGCACCCCCATCCCAGCAGCGGTAGCGAGATGAGAAATGCACCCCGAGGCTGGGCTTGCCTGGGCAACGCCTCAGGGGAGCTGAACCCCCACACCCTAACCCTGGGCCAACCAGAAACGTGGGGGCACCTTCCGGAAAATTCAGAGCAGTATTTTCCAGAGTGTGTGCTACAGGACTTTACTCTGTAGCTATAAAAAAACGGGGGGGGGGGGCGGTACTTCATGGTTCAAAGACGTTTGGGCCAAGCTAGGCAAAACCAAATTTAACAGGAGCCTCTGCTGCAGGACTTGTCAGAGCCCTGCAGTGTTCTAAGAAGAGGCGGCAGGGTGGAGGGGAGGTGGTTAGAGAAGCAGTGTTTCCTCCACAAATTTGACGTTGACATCTTGCTTCTTCAGAGCGCCTCAGGGAACCCAGTTTGGGAAACACTCATTTAGGGACCTGTCGTAATGTAGGTGGGGACCCTTCGTAGAAGCGTCCTAATTCATCAGGTCGCTTCCGCCGCGGAGGCTCTGAGCAGAGACAGGGTGACTCGAAAGCATTCAGGGATGTGAGGACACGAAGGGTGGGATCATTCTCAGTTCCAAAATACCGCTTCCGGCCAGGCCGCCTTTGGCCGCACCAGCCCGGGGGCGTCTCGGAGGCTCCCGCCCACCCTCTCCCAGAACGCCGGCTGATCTGCTTTTCTTCGCCACCTCGACAGAAAAGCAGTGATGTCTGCTCTCTCGCCAGGGACCTGTGACGTTTGTCTCCCGATCAGTGTGGCTGATTTCATAGGCCACTTTGTCGTGGTTCTAAGGAGGACGCATCCTCCTCCTCCTCCTCCTCCCCAGGGGTGTGCTGTGGGATGTGGCCCCTTGGGGCCTCAGAGGCAGATGTCCCAGACCTCGGCGGGCCTGGGACCAGCGTCTCTGCTCGCGATAGACTCAGGACACGCTGGGACGGGCACTGGGTGGCCAAGAAGCGGGTGTCAGGAAGCAGGCGGGACTGAAGTCCTTTTCATGCTCAGGGAGGCGACCGCCCGGGGTCTGACAGTCAGGGCCAGCAGCCTGAGAGGGGCCCGTTAGACGCTGGGGGGGACGCTGCTGCAAGCACAGGGGCTTTCGGGGGGACCCGCTGGTCCCTGGGCTTCCTGGGCTACCGAGAGAGACCCTTCCAGCCCCCCTGGGCCCTCACCGGCTGCCTGGGCCTCCTCGGCCACCGCTGAGCACGGCTCCCCCAGCACCTCTGGCTGCTGCGCTGGGACCCCGCGCTCCCCCTGGGCTGCCTGGTCCCCCTGCTGGCTGCCCTCCGCCACCCTCGCTCCGTCCCCACTGCCTGGGGCGGCCCTGGCGGGAGACTTGAGGTTCTGGGTGGCGGCCAGGATGTCAGCCTGGAGCTGCCGGGAGGAGTCCAGGGCCTCCTCGGGCCGGCCATCGGGGGCCCTGTCCGGGACCTCGCTGAAGGCCCGGGGGCCCCCGGCCCGGTCACTCTGGTCCACGTACTTCTTCTTGGGGAAGGACGACGGGTAATAGGCCGAGGCCTTGTGCTTCTGGCGGGTGATGAGTGCGGCGCAGACGATGAACATCAGCAGGAAGGCCAGGGAGCCCACCACGGCGATGAGCATGACGTACTGGCGGAAGAAGTCCACGATCCCGTCCAGGAAGTTGGTGGGGGGCGAGGGGCCCGCCAGGAGCGTGGGCTGGGGCCCCAGCGTCGTGGGGCTGAGGGCCGGGGTCCAGGGTGGCGGGAGGCTCGGGGAGGAGGCCGACGAGCCCTCAGCCTCCCCGCTGCCCACCACGTCCTCCAGGAAGGCGGTCTGCAGGGCCACAGAGTGGGCCTCCGCGGGCACAGGCCGCAGGAGCAGCAACAGAGAGAGGACGACACTGGGGGCTGCCACAGAGACCATGTCGCCCCCGGGACCTGTGGGGACACAAAAGGAGAGAGAAGTCAGGGACTCCAGGGACTCGTGATTCGGAAACAGGGCTCACCAGGCCCCGAGGAGGAGCATGCAACATGAAACACATTCCAGCAAGTCCCTTCCCTGTCGAAGCCTGAGCCCCTGTCCCCACCATACAAGGGACACCATTCAGATGTGGGATGCATACCTGCCCCCCCCACACTATCCTCTGAGGTCCTGGAGGACAGGGGCTGAGTCTCATTTATCTCAGCATCCTCGAGGTTTTGCGCCATATCTGGTATACAGTAAGTGCTCAATAAATGTATCTTGACTAACTTGGCTGAATTAATAACTCACGCTTTCCCCGCTCACCATGTACCAGCTCCTATGCTAAATTTCTCGCAGGGGATTTCTCACGGCATCCAGATGTCTATGGGGTGGGGGGAGGAGCCACGATTAGCCCCGTTCTCCAGGTGAGAACACTGAGGCCGGGAGGGGCTAAGCTACTTGCCAGGGAAGAGCTGGGCTTTGGATCCAGCCATGAAAGGGAGGGATGAGTAAGTGAGAAACTGAGTGAGTGACCAAGGGAGCCGAGGGACAGTCCCCCCTCCACCCAGGGCCTCTCTCCAGCACCCCCCAGCCCTTCTGCCATCCTGGCCCCTCAGGACCTTGTCCCCGTGCGCTGGGCGACCGCAGAGACTCCACATCCCAGCGGCACAGTCAGAGGATCTCTCAAACCTCCCCCAGCCCCGGCTCTACCTCCTTCTCCAGAAGATTCCTAGGTCTGGAGGCCTCCAGGTCTCTGAGCCGGGCAGGGGTCCCCGATGCCAGGGGCGTGCCGGGTGCATCCCAACATGCTGCCCCACCTCCAGGCGCCGGCAGGGCCGGCAGGGCCCCCAAGGAAAGCCCTGTGCCCGAGAGAGAGCTGGGGCTGCCGCCCGCCCCACCCCCACTAGATGGGAACCAGATGAGCCCTGCACCTCCCCCCACGCCCGCTGGAAGGCGCTCCCGGCATGAACCCCCGGGCCCCATCTGGCCCAGACAGCCCGGCTGATTCGTAAATTCCTCATGGCCCAAGTTTACAGAGGGGCTCAGTTTCTAAAACACTAAGTCTCCCAGCCAGGGTAAGTGGGGGCCTGGCGCGTGGACAAACCCAGGGACAGCTCTCCATGTCCCCTGAGCACCCCTCCCCGGTCCAGCAGGGGACACAGGTCCCTGAAGAAGGCCAAGGCTAGAAGCTTCAAGACAGGAAAGCCTTAGGAGCCCCCGTCCTGAAGCCTGAGGGGCCTGAGATGGGGAGACAAAGGCCCAGAGAGGGCGTAGGGCAGGCCTAAGGCCACGCAGCAATTGTGTGGGCTGGAGGAAGAAGTCAAGGCTCCCAATGCCTTGAATGCAGGTCACGCCTTAGGCTCTGCTCAGTAGAGCAGACGACACTGTCTACTTCACAGGATTCAGGAGATGAGGTGGGGACGAGGCGGGGGCCATTTAGTGGCCTGTTCCCGTGGCCTGAGGCTTTCCAGTGGCGTGCTGTTAATTGGAATTAATTGCAGTGGCACAAATCTGGACAGACTGGCTCAGATGGCAAAAACTAAAAAAATAATTCCAGAACATAAAAAGAGGCAAAGCTACTCAAGAGTCTGTTCCAAATGAGCTGGTCATTCCGTGCTGTTCACCTACACCCGCTGGGCACATTCAATCCTGCAGAAGCCCTGGGCGGCAGGCGCTAGAGTTACAGAAGATGAAAAGGTTCAGAGACAGACGGTGACTTTCCTAAGGACACACAGACGCTAAATAACAGAGCTGGGATTTGAACCTTCCCCTGATTCCGGGAGTCCACACACACTCGCACACGCACCGTGCACACACACCACACACGTGCACACACACCACACACACCCCGGCCTCAGATGGCAGAGGGGCTGGGGGATGCTGAGCTGTGGGGTCTTTGTCCTGCCAGTCACAAGCCCAGCCCAGAGCGACCTGTAATGGTGACAACCAAAATGTGTCACTGCAGAGGGCAGCGATGACCGTGGGTGGCTGAAGACCTGCTCAAGTCCTGAGAAGCCGGGTAGGCTGGGGTTCGAATCCTGGCCCCCCCGGCTCTAGCTCTGAGGTCTGACGACTCTGGGCTTCACTTTCCCCATCTGTAAATTGGGGGCAGAGGAGCACGGAAGCCACAGGTCGTACCTCTCGGAGCTACTAGGATCGCAGGAGCCAACGCTGAGTCAGTGCCTGGCACGGAGTGGCCACACACCCAGGCACGGTGGGATTCAGGAGGGGCTGAATCTTCGCCCACAGAGGTCCTCGCCCGGTGTGCACGCCTGCTCGTGCTCTGCCCGCTCCCCGCCCAGGAAACGATGCACTTTCTTACCCCGCTGCGTGAACCCTCCTCAGCTCTGGCCACTGAGGAATGCAGGACCGAACACACACACACGCACGCACGCACGCACGCACGCACGCACACGTATGCATGCACGGAGTCAGCAGTAGAGGACAAGGGGCACGCAAACCGTCACTGGCTCCTTAAGGCTGAGACCCTGACTCTCAGAGTCCCCTGTACCCCACCACCCCCCCGGCCTCCTGAGAAAGGCAGATGCAAAGTGTGGGGACACAGCCCCACCTGGAGCCAGCAGGGCCTTGCAAGAGATGGCTGTGTGACCCTGGACGAGTTCCCTACCCTCTCTGGGCCTCAGTTTCCCAACTGAAGAATAGAAGAACTGTCCTTCTACAAGAAATGATCCTTCTGCCTGCCAGCTGCCCCCGGCTCCTGGGTCTGAACTTTTTCAGGAACTCGGAGTCTCACAAGCCCTTAGGAGCTGGGGTCCCCTCTCATTTCACCCAAGAAGGAACTCAGGCCCAGCGAGTCAGGGCTGAGCCCTGGCCTCTCTTGGAGTCCCCAGAAGGAGGTCACTTCCCAGCTCTGTGTACTGGGGCCAGGCATGTCACCTCTCTGAGCTTCGGTCCCCGTATCTGCACAATGGGGATAAGGGCCACCTCCCTGGACCATTGTCAGGACAAGGCATAGCAGTGCCTGGCCCCTGGGAGGTATCTGTTAGTGGGCCCCGCGTGGCTGCCCAGGACCCATACTTGGAGACCATCGCACTCAGGGTTTGCGGTCTTCAAATGCGGCGAACGCCCTCCTGTGTGCACAAATGCAAACCACCCCTAAGGCCTGGGCACCCCAAGACCTGAGGCTGAGGGGCCAGAGTGGCTGCCCCACCCCCACCCAGAGACTGGTGGCCCGTGGGGGAGGGGCGGCCCTCAGAAAGCTGGCTCCAATTAGTGGCCTTGGGCAGGGGGAGGGGGGAACTCTGGCTGGAGCACTGCACCCCCACCCCGGGGCCAGCTGAGGACAGGGACCTGGGGCCCTGGAGGTCTGGATGGGGAAGGGGGTCTGGAAGACATAAAATCTATGCGCACACGCACACACACACACACAGCCGCAGCATGGACACACAACATAGGGACGCGCACACCCCAGACACGGTAGCAGGGACACACAATACCCAGACACACAACACAGACACACGGACTCACACAACACCTAGACACTCGGGAGAGCTCACACAGCCCACGGCACGGACACACAGAGAACACAGACACACAACACAGGCACGTGTGCAACCTCAAGACACACGGTGGATACCCGCACACGGGGCAGTCCCGTCCACACCACCCCCAAACTCACACAGACCGTGGAAGCAGCACCCTGGCGTCCACTTCCAGAGAACAACACGCCCCCTCCACCAAGGCCCCAGCCCCACACACCCAACGCAACACCCGGCGAAGCCCAGCGCCACGCGCATTCCATCACACGCGTGCACACGACGTCAGACACACACTCGGCGCTCACACACACTTAGAGACAAAGTGCTCCGACAGTCGCCTGCCCCCAAGCCCCAAGACGGCCCCAGGTGCTCGGGACAGAGGAGCAGGGGACCCGGGGACTCACCGGATCCTCCACGCACAGGCCTGGGTGCGCCCGCCAGGTGGAGCGAGCGCTGGGGGCGCCTGGCCCGGGAGAGAGTCCGCGCGGTGCCCAGGGCTGCTCTGGGCTGGCGCCTGCCCGCCCTCGCTCCTCCCGGCCCTCCTCCTCCCTCCTCCCGGCCCTCCTCCCGGCCCTCCTCCTTCCTCCTCCGGCTGGGCTGCGGGGCCAGCTTGGTTTCATTAAGAGGGCTTGGGGTGGGGACAGGGGGAGGGGAGGGGCTGCCCGGCCACACGCAGTCCCACCTCGCTCCCACTCCTGCTCTGGGGAAGACCAGCTGCAGCACTTCCTCCCTGACCCCGGGTCCCCAGGGCAGGCCGGGACAGACAGACAGACAGGGCTGTCCTGCAGCGCTCCCCCACACAGCGGGCTGGGGTCCTGCCCGCACCCCCGCTCTCCAAGAGGGATGAGCTTAGGGAGGTCCAGAGGCCTCTGGAAGCGAGAAGGAAAATTCCTCGTCCTCGTGTGACTCAGGTTTTCCAGGCCCAGCGTGCAGCGTGGGAGCCGGGACGTGTTTTAGGGAGGCCTGTGGAGGTCCGAGCCCCAGACAGGAAGCCCAGTTCTGGCCCTGGCCAGCTCCTTCCCCTCTCCAGGCCTCAGTTTCCCCATTTGTAGGGGTGGGCAGGAAGCTTTCTGGGCTACCTCTGGCTCTGACATTCTGGGACCTGAGGCCCCCCAGTGCCCCCGACGGAGTAGCTTGAGCAGGAGTTGAACCCATTCCACAGAGGGGAAGAGTGAGGCAGGGTGAGTTCCAGAGGTTCAGGCGCGTCCCGACGCGAGTCAGTGGCAGGCCCTGGAACCAGGACGTCTGTCTGGCCGGAGGAATCCAGTGGGTCAGTAGCCTCTTGCATTCATTCATTCACGCACTCATTCATTGATTCAGCAAATGCTCGACCAACACCCGTAGTGTGCCAGGCACTGTGCCAAGCAGGTTCCAGAGGTGACTTCCAGGGCACGTGGGTAAATTACTCTTTTACAAAACAGAAAGGGGTCTGTGGCCGGAGAGAGGCCGGACCAAGGGCTTGGGGAACCCCGGGACAGAGACGGATCCACGGACAGAGAGAGCAGGGAAATTGCCCGGACTAGGACACGCCTGCCAACATGCAGTCCGGGCGAGAGCAGACCCTGGAAAGGTGCTCCAGGTGGAAGGAGCAGCGCGGGTGGAGGCGTGGTGGCTGGGAACGCCGCGCACAGGCAGGGCGCTGGGATTAACCCAGGCTGGAGCGCGGACGGAGGGCAGGAGCAGGGGATGAGGGCTGGGGAAGTCGGCAGGAGCCGGGCTAACGTCTCAGGACTCAGAACGTTCCTTACCCATCCAGGCGGCAGTAGGGAGCCACTGAGGGTTGGGGACAGGGGAGTGCGTGAAGGAACAGCCTGTACCCTCCCCACAGGAACTGGGACTCCAGATTATTGTCATTCCTTGCAATGGCCCCAGAAGCCTCCCCCACCTCACCTCCCAAACGGGGGACAGTCGTTTGTTTGGAGAATAAAATCAGAGGCTTTCTCATCTTCTCTTGAGATCACCCAAACCCTGCATCCCAGAGGGAACAGGGGACGGTCCTCCCGTGGGCACACACGTTCATGCGCACACACGCCCCCAGGAGCAAGTGGCCACCGCAGACGTGTCGTGCAGCTGCACCCACTTGAAGATGGCCTGGGGGTGTCCCAGCCCTACCTGACCTTAGACCAGACGCAGGGTGGGCAGGGCCACTGCCAGGGGAGGGGGCCCTGAGCCCAGGAGTCTGAGGCTGCAGTCTGGGGACGCTGGGAAGTCAATGGCCACGGCATCCCCACCCTAGACAGGGCCTGCTCCCAGCACAGGTGGGCCCATGCCACAGAGGGGAAGAGTGAGGCAGGGTGAGTTCCCCAGAGCCCCAGCCCAGGAGCCCCCTCTGAGTCCCCTTCCCCTGGCCCTCCCTCAGGGGCAGAGCAGCTCCCGCCAGGAACCCTGGGCCCAGGGGCAGGCAGACCCGGGTTCAAATCCTGCCTCCACCATGACCCGCCCCCCATGGAGCCTCAGCTGTCACATGGGTACAGAGAGTCCCTACTGCTCACAGCCTGCTGGGGAAACCGGACGACCAGTGAGCATGACGGCGCCCGGCAATGCAAAAACACTGGCCAAAGCCCGAGGGGATTGGTTTTGAGTCGCTGCTGTAACGTACGACCTCAACCTTAGGGGCGAAAAACAACACACGTTTATGTTCTTGCAGTAGTTCCTGCGGCCAGGAGTCTGACATGAGCCTCCCTGGGCTGACGATCAAGGTGCCAGTGGGACTCGTGTTCACTCTGGAGTGTTCAGGGGACGAATCTCATTTCTTTGCCTTTTCAAGCTTCTAGAAGCTGCCGGCATTCCTTGGCTCATGGGCACCCTCCTCCATCGTCACAGCCAGGAGTAGTGGGCCGAGTCTTTTTATTTATTTATTCTTTCCTTTCTTTTTTCTTTAGAGACAGAGTCTTGCTCTGTCACCCAGGCTGGAGTGCAGTGGCATCAGCCTAGCTCACCGCAGCCTCGAACTCCTGGGCTCAGGTGATCCTCCTGCCTCAGCCTCCTGAATAGCTGGGACTACAGGTGTGCACCTCCACACCTGTCTAATTTTTTTGTTTGTTTTTGTAGAGATGGGGTCTCACTGTGTTGCTCAGGCTGGTCTCGAACTCCTGGCCTCAAGCAATCCTCCCTCCTCAGCCTCCCATGGTGCTGGGATTCCAGGTGTGAGCTACTGAGCCTGGCCGAGTCCTTCTATGCTACCATCTCTCTGGGTCTCTCTTCCAAGTCCCTTTTCCACTTTTAAGGATCCTTGTGATGACCTTATCTGGCCCACCCGGATAATCTGGGATCACCTCCCCATCTAAAATCTTCAGTTTAACCGCATCTGCAAGTCCCTCTTGTCGCGTAAGGTGACGTATTCACAGGTACCGACATGAAGCTGTGGACATTTTGAGGAGAGGGGAGTTATTCTGCCTCCTGTGCCAACGTTGCCTGTTATTTTTTTTTTTTTTTTTTTGAGACAGAGTCTCACTGTGTTGCCCGGGCTAGAGTGCCGTGGCGTCAGCCTAGCTCACAGCAACCTCAAACTCCTGGGCTCAAGCGATCCTCCTGCCTCAGCCTCCCGAGTAGCTGGGACTACAGGCATGCGCCACCATGCCCGGCTAATTTTTTCTATATATTTTTAGTTGTCCAGCCAATTTCTTTCTATTTTTAGTAGAGACGGGGTCTTGCTCTTGCTCAGGCTGGTCTCGAACTCCTGAACTCAAACAATCTGCCCGCCTCGGCCTCCCAGAGAGCTAGGATTACAGGCGTGAGCCACCACGCCCGGCTTGCCTGTTATTATTATTTGCTCCCGGCAGAGCCGGAATCATCCACCCGTAGCCCGGGGTTTTCCTCCCCCCGCAGGGCCCAGCCCTGTGCCTCAGACACAGCGGACTCATCCGCGCTCGTGGGGAGGGGACTGAGCGAGCGAAGCCCGCCTGGCAGACACAGACACTCAGGTGCGTGGCGGTGTTGCCTGCCCAGGAACCAACGCACGTCAGGGAGTCAGAGCCCTTTTGTCCTGCACCAGCCCCTGTGTCAAAACATCTGGAAATGGGCCGGGCACAGTGGCTCACAAATGTAATCCCAGCTCTTTGGGAGGCTGAGGCAGGAGGATCACTTGAGGCCAGGAGTTCAAGACCAGCCTGAGCAAGAGTGAGACCCCCGTCTCTACAAAAAATAAAAAAATTAGCCATGGCCCGCGCCTGTAATCCCAGGTGGCAGTGAACTCTGATGATGCCACTGCATTCTACCCAGAGTGACAGAGTGAGACTGTGTCTCAATAAAAAAAAAAAAAAAAAAATCAGGAAATGCAGCAGCCAGTCCTGTGACCCCCTGTTCTAAGGGGCCCATTCCCCACCGCAGGTCACACTGCCCCCGTCTGCGCTGTCGGAGGGCTGTCAGACCCTGGCAACACACACACACACACATGCTCTCCTTAAACGGAACATCCCAACCCACAATCTGAGGCCAGAGCACAACTGTATCTGTCACCAATCAGAGCAAAGAAAGGAGCCCAGAGCCCCAGCCCCGGCTTGAGCACAGCTGTGGGCGGTGGGCCGAATCGCTGCCTGACTCTGGGCCACAGTCAAATGTGAGGTTGGTACAGACTTAAGACTGTGATGCTCTGACGTTCGAAATGTCCTTCATTCTACAAATAGTTCTGTTTTTTATGTCAACATATTTTTTCTAATTTTTATGGCCACATAATAGTTGCACATATTTATACAAACATTTCTTGAGGCCTCGCTTTGCACACCGTCCAGGGTGAAGTCCCGGGAGACAGTGATGAACAAACAGAGACGCAGAGTTTACAGAGCGGCAGGAACACCTGCAGTAAGCAAGTAAACAAACAAACGAATATCTAACTACAAACTGGGCTAAGAGTTGGGAGGGGGTAGTTCAGGGGCCACAGGCCTCATAATCCGCTTCCAGGCCTCATAGGGTCCTCTGAGAGGAGGTGACAGTAGAGCTGCTCTTGAAGATGAGGAGGCGTTTAGAAAGGCAAGGATGCAAGCAGGTTCCCAGTAACGAGAAAAGCATGTGCAAAGGCCCTGAGGTAGATGGGAACACAGCAACTTCAGGGCAGCTCCTGAAGATTATTGACACGCTATAGTCAAGGAGCCAGTTCTGCAGGGGCAAGGAACTTGGTCTGTTTGGTGCACTGCCATAACTGCGGCATCTGGGACAGTGTCTGGAACACAGTCAGTGCTTAATCAATGGTATTGACCGCGCGAATGGCCACTCCGACCTCCACTCTTGCATTTTCAGGTTTTGACCAGCTGACGCCCCGAGGATGCAGTCCAGCTGCTCCTCCTCCAGCCCAAGAGACTCACACTCGACGTTCTCCAGTTCTGGGACCTGCTGTGGGGCCCGGCCAGGGTGCTCCTTGAGGCCTGCGCCACGGTGGTTCCAAGGGACACGGGCGGGCCCGTGGCACGACTTGGAACCTGTAATTTCAGAGGCATAGAGCAGTGGCCGGG